TTTATTTTATTTTATTTTATTCAATTATGCAGATAATGTATGTGTGATGATTATTTCATCATGCTCTTGGCAACACTTTGTGCCAGCTATGAAATCTGGTAGATCATATCCAGCTTTTTATTGCTGCTCTTGTGAGACTCGTGACTGTCCACACTCTGAGAAACGATGGAAAACTGAAGATTATTTAGGGAAATCGCAGATTGATGTACTTCCAGAATTGATGATGTCAAAGAAGACGATGCGGGTGCATTGGGTTAGTAAATTTATGCCTTCTTATCTCATGTGGCTTAATATGGCTGAGTATTTCATCCCTGGTTTTTCTGTACAGTGCAAGTTGGAGCAGCTAAGTAATGAGGAGAAGGCAACATTTAACGCCTACAAACCTGTTGTTGATGGAATGCTGAATGAAATAATTGAAGTTAGCAATTTGCCAGGCATTGAAGTCATGCCAATTTGTTAATGAGCTGCATTTTTATTTTTATTTTTAGCCTATACATGACCTGTCTTTTATTTTAATTTGAGTGGCTTTGCCCTTTTTTACACCACTGTCTAAAAGTGAAATTTTATCTTCATGATGAAATATGTGATACCTTACTCTGGTGAAGAGAACCTAATAGAGGTTGAATGTTTCCTATGGAGAACTAGTTTGATATGCCCTTTTGTGAAGGGAATCTCTGTGATATATTTAAATACACATAAAAAATGGCCAATCTCTTAATCTATTAGATATCTACATGTCTTACATCTGTAGATATTAGATACCGGTTTAATATCTGTTTATTAATTTTCAATCTGTGTACATCTCACTCTTGTAATAAAATTAAAGGGGTGCTTAAAATTTATTGCAATGACTGTCTTAATGAATTACCTTTCACAGCCATTTGAAGTGTTGTGTAAAGCCACTTCCTGTCTACCGACATATTTTAGTAATTGTGAAATAGAGTTAATACAAAGCTTTAGCCGCTTTAGCTTGTCAGTTCAATCTGTATTGCCTGGAGAGACTTCCCTCTTGTCTCTGGCACTAAGAATAACACGAAAACTACTGTCACACCGCAACACCCTGAAAATAGCCAGAAAGTTGAGTCCATTCCAAGATAATCGACCAGATATTGATAAGATTTGGTCGTGGTGAAGGAGAGTGTCCAGCATGCTGATGACACCACAGCACCTGCAGGCCCTGTAAAAGGCGACGATTAAACTGTCACATTCTGCCTAACGGGCTGCCCAGAATCCCTACACCCCGACTTCAGGAAGCTGTTACTTACCTACGATGTCCATCGGCAGCAACTCTGCCATCACCGTCCACGGCAGCGGCCCTAGGCCCAGGCAGAATGCCGCCACGGCGCACATGATGGCGAGCACGGGCAGCCAGGCGAAGGGCTGCATGTCGATCAGGGAAGGGTGCGCTTGGAGCTGGAAGAAGGCCGCGAGCGTGGCCAGCGAGAGGCCCATGAAGGTGGCGGAGACGATGAGGAGGACGCGGCGGTCTGAACACAAACGGCAGGGCGCTTTTGTCAGCGGGAGCACCCTTTGCTGACTGTCACGAGGAGCACGTGGTCCTTATGCCCTTACCCACTCGGTCCACCGCCAGGGTGGTGATGTACGACGTGGCGAACAGGACCAGCCCCACCGAGACGGTCGCCGCACTCGGAGGTATGGATCCGCCCACTGCGCGGAAGATGGTCTCGGCATGGAAGACCACCACGCACACGCCGCTCAGCTGCTGACCGCTGAGCGGGCGGAGAAGCATTCAAGGAAAAAAAATGATTAGCTGTATAGCTAACACCAATAGCTAAATGAGAGAGAACTAATTATTTATCTATGTAGCTAGAAATGTAGCTATGTTTTCGCTCAACAGCTATTTTTTTTTTTTTTGCAACATAGTTAAATTTTTACCTACATTGCCAAATAACTAGTCAGCCCTTATTTAGGTATTGCTAAGCTACAGATGTATTTTTTTTTTCGTGCTCGACTTACGTGATCAGGCCCAGGGCGACGGTGAGGGCCCTGATCGCTGAGGGCCGCCGCATCCTGGCGAACAACGACTCCCCGGAGGTGGTCTCGGCCTTGGCGACTGCCTGTGCGCGACGCAGCTTCACCAGCTCGGCCTCGAGGGCGGCGCTGTGCACGCCGGGCGTCCACCGCCGCAGCCAGCACAGCGACCGGGTGGCGGCCTCCTCGCCGCCGGCGCCGTTGAGCAGGGCCGCGGGGGTCTCGGGCATCCAGGCGAAGAGAACAAGGAAGAGCGCGGGCACGGCGGCGCAGGCGGCCGCCAGCAGCACGTAGCTCTCGGCCGCGCCCACCGCGTACGAGAAGAGCATCCCCGCGTTCATCATGACCTGGAGCATGGCGCTGCACGTGCCCCGCACCTCGTCCTCGGCCACCTCGTTGATGTAGATGGGGCAGGCGACGCACACGCCGCCGAGCGCGAAGCCGGCCAGTAAGCGCGCCGCGTACAGGCCCAGGGCGCTGTGCGTCGTGAGCACGAGCGCCCAGGACAGGAGGAAGTGCACGGACAGCGACAGCACCGCCGTCTTGCGGCCGAGCCTCTGCGCCAGGTAGCCGGCGGGCGGCGCACCGAGCACGGCCCCGAGCGGCATCACGGAGCCCACCCAGGAGGCCTCGTTCTCCGTCAGATGGATGGGGGAGTCGGCCTGCGCGAGTAGCGGCAGCGCGGGCGAGGTCCAGGCCAGCACCGTGCCCCCGGCCATGCCCACCAACGCCGCTGCAACGAAAGGAGCACTCGTCAGCCCCATCAACCACCAGGAGAGGCTCTCTATCCGCATCGCTCCGCGCCGAACCTGTGGTGGCGGCGAGGTACTGCGCCCACCGCCGTGACTGCACGGGGCCGTCGACTGTCCCGGACTCCACTGCGGCCTCGGCGGCGGCCAGCTCGTCCTTGGTGGTGATGCGGATGGTGCTAACGCCGGCAGCTTGGACGGCGTCATCCTCGAGGATGGCGGTCACATCGTTGGAGGCCATAGTGGCTTAGGCACGGTCGTTGAAATGGTCTGGTCCAGGTACTCACCCTAGAACTGCCCAGAGATACCACGTTAGCGCTATAGAGTAACGAGAAAATTTTATATGAAAAATATACCAAAGTTGCGAATTCCAGTCCACAAAAATTAAGAGACATTTTAGACAGGTATTGATTTTTCTTTTTTAGATAACGAGCAG